TCCTCATTTGGTAACGAAGGGAAGAAACGTTTATCACAAGAAAACCGTCTGCCTCTATTTGAAAGTGTTCGTTAGATTTAAATTACAGTTTTTCGTTTTACCTTGTACTGGCAGGGAAAGTCTATATTATGAATATCATATGATAGTTACTGGCAACTTACCGTATGGCGATCGAAACTTACGGATATTAGTCGAAACTAACAGTTTTCGATTTCTCTCTACAAGACACACTTTAGATGAACCTTGCTTAGTGTTACCCAGTTAACAGTATGCTGAAGCTGTACTATTAAGCCGACTTGTAGAGAACTCAAATAGAAAATAGCTTTTGCTTTTTTTCATGAGTTTTTCTTTCACAAGAATTTTCATGGGTTTACTTAATGGTGTTTATCGGTGTTCCTTTTCAGCAGTCGGTTAAAACTAATGAAAGCGAAGTGTGTCTCTACACTTACTTTAGCGTGAGTGGCCGCCGAAGTCTCATAGTCATAGATTATTCTGCTGTACACTTAAGTTAACTTTCAGTGTGCCGACGCTCAAGTCAGAGGCCCTTCAAAACAAAATGTGTGGACTAAACAACAACTTACAATCCGGCGTAACGAGTCCGAAGTTTAGTCAGTGTTTCACGCGCCCTGCATACATTCACTTACTCACTTATTCAATACAAGACAGGAGATCGTGGCCTATCCTGCGGAGAGGCTCAAAACATTCTGAAAGGATGCCTTCAGGAGCAACAAGTGCCCGGCCGTGGCGCCCCCCGTGAGTAATTCACAAACCATTCTGCTAGGCTCAACCAGTTAAGAGCATCACAATGTCTTCTATACATATATATATATATACATATATATATATCACTAAGCGACAAGCCCTTGTTTCGTACTTGTTAAGCAAGCGAAGTATACTTGAATCAGCTTCATACAAACACAAATCAGCACGTGTTTTATTCGTGCTTTTCACTCTCCATCCTAGCGAATGCTCGCGGTTGGCCTATACCTCTCGTTGTGCATCCTATTGCAACGCTTAAACCAAGCGTTGCCCCAATAGAACATAATGACTTAAGACTGATTTACGCCACTCCATGGACGTACGAACAGCACTAATTGTCGCAGGAAGAATTCGTCTGTCCTATTAGTATCCCGAGAGAAATTATTGCTTTTTAATTAATTAATTTCTCTCCTCCCAGTTAATATACGCTTTCATCAGGCATGCAATATATAATCGATTAAGTTTCCGCTCTTTCTTCTTGCCTTTCCTCTTCTCTCTTGATTTTGAGGTGTTTACGTTGTATGTATTGTCAGTCACCTCTCTGGTAGCTCACGAAAATCGTTTCGTAGTCTTTGTTTGGTCAGTCAGTCCAAGGATAATAGACAACTTCCTCCTGCCATTGAAATAGAGACTTTATTAGGACGGCATAAGTTATGGCAGAAGAACATATGATCATCCCACTGATCCAGCCCTGAGGATTTCCTAGCCAGACAGGTCCCACCTGTTGATCACGAAGTGCCGCCACAAATATCATCTGACGTATTTTCTGTACCTGAGGAGAAACGTAATTCACCGTTAACAAAAGTGAAACTTGGGAAAAAAGTTGAAGCTTAATCTTGAAACATTCTATCTAATCAGCAAAGTCACATTTCCACTATTTTTTGACATTGTTTAGTCTTAACGACTAATGCAGTTCTATCGATATGCACAGATTAGTCTGAATATATCGAGCAAGTAATTTTCAGGCGCTAAAAAGTACTTTCAATACAAAAATATTGGCATAGTTCTAAGAGGTACAATCTTTGAAGCTTAAAAGGAAGACTAGAGGAAAGTCACCTGTTATGTAAGCAAGTTTAGATCACTAGCATAAAAATTAAATAGTTATTACTAGATCGTTACTTCGACTTATTCCGAGACTATCGTTCCCAAAATCTGAGAGCTATCGTTGAACAGAATAGAATAGTCAGAAAAACGGTCAATAATTAGGTTAACAGTGCCGAATTAGATTTTTGCTGAATCTCACCCAGGATTTGAGTTCTCATCCTTCTTAATTTTACGATTTCGAAGTATAGTTTGTCTCTTTATATAGGACTACATAACATTTTTGGGTTGTGACGACTGTAGCGAAATGAGGCGATGAAATTTCTTCCATATTAGGGCAAATAGCCATTTCTAAAAAAATAGGTTCCTTCTCTACATGTATTCGATGGGTTCAGGATAATTTTACTGTCGCCTAGGTGGTCAACGCTCGCAAGCAACTACCATGTCAGAATCTTCGAATGTGTACTACAGAAACTTTCAATTGACAATTCGATTAAAAAAAAGGAGATCAGACAAGATATTACGATTTTACAAAAAGAGGAGTGTAACCGCTAAATTTGGCTAGCTTTGTATCAGAAATATTATTTTACATTAATTTCAATACATTTTGCTTAGATTTTAAAACTGAAAAGACTTTCTTCTCTAAGACAGATAATTATTGTTATCGATACTGAGGTTAGGCCCAAAAAAAAATCTTTTTTGGTCCCTGCTCCGCACGGCCGCAAAGTTAGGACTGCCAGGGTCTTGGTGTCTTATTATCAAAATAACATTACGCCACAAAATTATAATTACAGCCAACATATTATAACAGCAAATCATACATCTTGTACAATATATGTACGTATGTATGTATGTATGTATGTATGTATGTATAGTACAATTCAACAAACAGTTTACCCAATGAAGGTTCAAACTTTATCGTTTACCTTAAGTTTTTATCAAATCGCACATGTCCCATCTGTCAACAACTGTAATTGCCAATTTCGAATTTTAGAAAATGTTGTTTGATATACCAGCATGCCTTTACGCTGCCCGTGGGTGTCAAGCCGTAGCCCTATTTATACTAACTACGTTCTTAAGCACAAACACTATATTGCAAGGTAAATGGTATAGATATTATCCTGACGATCTAAAATTTGATTGAAAAAGTTAAAACCAGTTACTACAACGAATAGTGTAGCTTTCGAAAGAAACCTTCCAGTTGCCGTGGCCTATATGTAAAACTATTTGTTGCGATGGAAAATCGTCATATGGACGAAACAAAATAAATTACAATTTTCGAGTTACCTCTCTTCGGAAAAGGCAGGAAGCTTTTACCAGCTGATGCGTACTCCACGTAGTAACCACGAAATGGACCAGAATTTCAACCGCAAGGAAAGAGCTCCACTGGTCAGGAACAAGAATTGATAATATCGTAAGACGATTTGAGCCTATCGGCCACTGAAAACACATAAAAGCGAAGACCAAACAGTATGTACAGTACGGGATTGCAGCAAATATCTCGTTCGCCTGGAAAATCACAACACTGTCAAACACATCATAAAAAAACGCGTTAAATTCTATAGTGGGGTAAGAACGACTGAGGTAAGAAATTATTTTTACCCCTATTAATATTATTACTATAGGAAATACTACTATACACAATGTTAGATTAGGGGGCCGACGACATTTGCTGTTCTTCCTTTAGGTACTTAAGTTGGACCCAATGAGCTCGAGAACACATCCATTGATGTTCTATCAATAAAAAAAGCCTAACGAGATGAATGCAGTTTTTTGTAACAATAAGGCTCAGCTGGTAGTATCAAATTAGGGATCTCTAGAGAAAAGCATATTTTTTGCTATTCATTGACAAGTCGCTCTCGTTTTTTGCATGTAGAGATTTTTTAAATGGAATTTAATGCCACTTTTTATTGTCAACGTGTGTGATATTAAATTCAAGTTCCTAGATATCGAAACTTGAACTTTTAAAGAGATAGACATTTTGGCTATTTCTCTCCTTATGACAGGAAGTTTAATTTTTTTTTTATCAAAACAAGAAAAAGCCATAGCTTCCGAGTACGGATTAAACCTTCTACACCTTGAATCACGCATGCTATTTTTATATCTTTTTATCAAAAAGGATTTTAGGTTCCATAATTCATTACGTAAAATGTGTGGAAGTTTCGACACTTTATGCGCCATCGGAGACCCACGGGGTTTCGCCATCGAAACGAGAAATTTACGACTTTAGGCGAGCTTGCCAACTAATTTATAGCTGACCTCTCTTTTCAAAACAATAAAAAAAAAAACGTCGCTTTGATCCTTAGTTCGACCAACTGTCTCCTGCACGTCCTAAGGACCTAAGGTATCACAGGCCGCCTCGCAATCCAGCAAAACCCTAAATAGGCCGTCCGAAAGATCTAAATGTCAATTAGGTGCATAAAATTACGATGGTTGCCATACCATACCAAGCGTACAGGCATCTACTGCCCATCTAGCTCTAACCTTATATAAGGTTAGAGCTAGATGGGCAGCATCTCTTCAAAATACTAGCAAACTTATTGTGAGCAATATTAGTTTGCGGCTATTTTCGCCGCCAGTGTCAACAGAGCTGCTTTTCTATTGACGTTAAATAAATAAGTCCTGAACTCTTGCACAAGTAAAGAAGGCATTTCCTTAGCACTCTAAAATCATATTTCAGTAAACATGATCTTTCGCGAAGTGCGAAAGAACTTCGCAAGATATGATAGTTTCAAGTAGGGTTACATTTTTTTCGGAGTAATTTTGCTACCCTGCATTTTGAATATCTAGTACAACATCTGCTTTTTTCGTTCTTCGATAGCGTTCACAGATTTAGGCGCTATACCCAACACTTTAATGCATTCTTTCTGTCACAATAGCATTAGGCTTTGACAAATACATTTCCACCTTGAGCTTATCCAGTAGCCGTAAGCATACGTGTTACGACGATCAATCAATAAATGCAATTGCTCTTATATAGAGCTATTTTGTATGATTATTATTCTAGTTGCTCGTATGCTTCTACTGAGAGGAGATACCTGGGTACCTGGTTTCCATTTTCGAAATTGTGAATAGACAATAGATCGTCTGCTGCCAGGTTCAAACAATTAGCAAATAACACCAGAACCAAAAGGTGATAAGAGTTCTGAATTGTTCCGAAAAAAGATTTTTCTCACCACAGTAACCCTTTTCACTGTGAGCTGTGTTTTTTTCACAACGTCCTTAACGCGATATCGAAAATTGGTCTCGAAATCGACGTTGACATCAAGAAATCTTAGCCGCTACAGGAAAAAACTTGTAAATTTACGATTCAGCAATCTTGAATTCAAATCATATAAGTAAGAATTTACCACTAAATTTGGTCATTTTTTTCATATTGCGAAGTTTGTTACCAATGGTCTCAGGTATCGACCGAAAAAGATGCAATATTTACATTTCAGTTTTAAGGACCCAGGAAGTTTGAAGTAATTACTTGAAATTTTGATAGTAAGAAGTTTACGCAGACTCTTTCAACAAAATTTAGACGTAGCACGTTTAGTAGACGTAGACGGTTAGTTACTTGTTAACTACATAGGTAGTTGCTCTTGGAACTTTATCACTTTTAACATATCGTCGTTCTGCAATATTACACTGATACTTGTTGAATACTTTGCACTGTGTTGATTACAGGCGGGAGGTTCCTACTATAACAAGCCATTTGGGGCTTCTCGTCCGCATGTGCGCTAACCTTCAGAATCGTAGAGGCTCTGAGTTCAAGCACGAGACACACTGCGTTTATCGCTTGTGGCAAATCCTAGTTTAGTCCCTATATTATGGAGGAACGTTTAAGTGCCTGGTTTCGTCCTATTCAATGACAAACAAAAGTACTCTAACAGTTCCCAAGAGAGTGGATGATAATGACAATAATCATAGTGGAATCAATTATGCATTTAATTCGTTTTACGGCCGCTTTCCACTCATAGTAATGAATCCTTTTTTTTTTTTCGTGCCAACGTGAATTCGCTCGACATTGTTAAACTTGGGAAATCCACTTTGCTATCGAAAGCGGAAGGCCGTGTAAGTTTTTCTCATAAGTTGGCATACGAACTTTCAGAGTAATATTCATCAAGCTATTTTCAGGTTTTAGTTGTTTTGATAGATGTCCGCTACCTGGTTTCACTAAGAAAGACGATGTCCTGTAGAGGAAAAAGTGTAGTTTAAAATCCCTGAATTATAAAAATAGTTGCAAAGTAAATCGCCTTAAGGTTAGATTTTTGACGAGGATTATCTTAGTTAGAAGCGTACCGCTAAATATGATTGTATTTGAAAAAATAACCCAGCGTATAAGATTTTAAATAAGTTCACTTTGAACTTATTTGAAGATGTGCGGACATCTTACCTTCATTCTCGTTCCACCTAGCATTATAATAGAAAAAAAAAAGCTCTATGCTGCTTCACTGCATTCGAAATGAGCTACTAGAAAAAACAGACGACTAATTTAGACGTTCAAGTGATCACCTTTTTGCTTTATACCTGTATATTGACAGGTACTCTTTAAAGGGCTCGAAGTACCGTGCATAGTCTACACTTTAATATATTGAATTGTATCACATATTATATATGTTTGATTTCAGCTTGACGTTCAAAGTGGCGACCAACTAAAAACTAGCTACAGCAAATTTTCAGAACGTGTGGTGCTGGGTCAAGCAGATGGCCCTTTTGGCTTAGGATATAACCTTTCCCATTCCGACAAATGACAGCCGATCATATAGCATCATTACAACCTCCTGAACACCTACAAGAAACAACCTTTGCTTCTCTAATATACGAATCCACCGAAGCGGCAAGATTTCATTGTCATGTATTAAGAACAAGAGTGATGTCAGTCGTCAGGAGCAACCTCATAGATCCTGGCAGCACGTATCACCAGACCTGAAGTTGAGGATGGCCAATATCTAAAACATGTGGTAACTCGAACAGATCTTAGATCCGCTAAAATAATACCAACGTTCGTTGTCTCGAGGTCGGATCGGTATTGTAAACTGGTTCTGCATTATTTTGTGTCTTTTTTTAATGTGCACGTTATCAGTATGCAGTGCAGGGATATACAGATCAGAAGCTCCGACAACGGATTTATCTTTCATCTTAATCAAATATCAGCGTGCATAGAATCAGTTTTTGAACTATTGTGCATAGAAAACGTGCCAAGGTGTCGATTTTTGATTGTTTCATTATAGAAAGGGAATTTTGATCATGTAGCAATTCAGTAAATTCATACCGGTCGAAAAGAGGTAAACACGATACACAATTGGATAGATAGTATCACGCGTCATTGCCCGTACAATAGCGTAACAATTTAAGTAAATCTTCACACGATAAGATACGTGCATATATGGCTTAAATTAAATTTAGAATATTGCACCTTATTTCATTAATCTGTTTTAGCAGTTCGGTGAGACATCTTCGTAACCTTCAGCCAGTGCCAATTCCTCATTGTTCATAAATATATATATTTTTTTAGATATATTTCCGCCAATTTAGCCAATGTAATAAAGTTTTGAGGCCGCCTTTAATACTGCGTATATCAACATTTAAAATATATACCTTTAGAGTATAATACAAAATCATACCATATTGAACAAAGTCAAATCATAGGTTTTTCTCCTGTCTCAACACTAGCCATATGGTATTATTGTACACGTATACGTAACGTATATGTGTCCTGAAGTAGACTAATTAAAGCATTGCGGGTGGGCATTATATATTCTTGATACGGCAGCTCGGACAACTCAGCCTCCAGTCAAGAGAAGTTAGGAGTCATTGATCTAAGTTTTGCTAAAAAGAAACCTGTATGAAGATAAAAAGCGATTTATTATTATTATTACTATAATTTGATCAAATGTAAATTGAAGTTCGAAGGCAACATATATTAAAGCCACGTTCAACCTATAAATTAACACCAGCCAGTCTAAACATGGAACATAAGTTACTGCCTACCGTGTTTTGAAGTTGATAATATAATTGTTTTGATCAGAAAGCAGATAATTTTAAAGATGGACTGACGATAATGTCAGCTGCAACGGAAAAACCGAACGGGGTCTGTGTTCGTAACGGATGTATAGAACAAATAAGAACATTAAAACAAGTATATCGATCAGTGAGAAGTCAAAATAATATAACTTAAACTTGTGCTTTGAAAGATCTAATGTTTGGTTTATGTGTATGGCAATCGCACTGTCTGAAGCATTGCTTAGCGTCAGCAGCGAATGTATAAATTTAGATATTGATTTCGCCAGGGTCACGCTGCCATTTTGGTGAAGGAAAAAAGATATGATGCTTTTGTTTCTACCTTAAGTTTATATAAGTTAGTTATGTAAATGATCGACCAGCTTGAATATGCTTGCTCTTATTTCACTGTAGATCACTTTCGCAATTCTTAATTGCCGTTATTAGAAAACGTGTTTAATTATACACTTATGACGTAAGAACAGAAGAGAACGTTAAGTATAATGAATATGTTGTGTTGGAAGTGTTTCTGAAACGGTCATAGCAATCCATGATACTTCATCGACGCATATGCGTATAATCAGAATATTTCGCCATTAGACACAGCATGGTAGCAGTGGCACTCCGCTCTGCACTCTTCTGAAGGTCATGTTTAATATCAATTAATTATCTTATTACTACAAAAAAAAACAAATGCTACTTCGATAATATTTCGCGCTGGTAAAACTGTGCAGCGTTCAAATCAAATGGAAGATGAATGATGATATCCCCGACGAAAAGTTCCTATTTGCGGCAAATTGTTACAGAATAATTTCTGCGCGCATTTTTCTAGCAGGCCTCGATATTGACGGAGATCAGAATGACGTGATTTGGCAGGGGTGATTGATGGGGATTATTCAAAAACCCCATTTAAGGGCTCTAACATATACTTTGTTAGCTTATATACGAAATGAAAGACAATTTAGTAGAAACGCCGAGTGTACATTTCAACGAAGCCAGCCGTATGGACTTCGTTAAAGTAGACGCTACCGTCGTCCGTTGTAGCGTATTCAGTAAAACGTCAGAAATCCAATCCTTATACAACAGATATGTTGATTCCAAGTATTCGGCTAGAGTCGTCTTTAAGGAGCCTCTCTGAGCGTATTTTTTTTTTAATTTAAAATTGATTGCAAAAGCTACGCTATTAAAACTTTAAAAATGCTGAATATAGGACAAGCCTACTACTTGGTTACGCCATCGGTTATTGAAAAGAAGTATTCTTATAGCGGTTTCTTTATTGCGAGCACCAAGTCTTGAAGCTATTCTCTAAGGAAATAAGTTCTTCATAACGGTTTTCTTCGCCATGATCCGTATCGCAGAATATAATCACTTCACGGTCCGCTGATGCACGAAGTAGTTGTATTAAAGCAACTAGACATTCAACGAAAATATCAGAATTCTTCATTTTCGTAGTGCTGCCAATTGCGGCATCATGGCTCTCATTGTTCAATTGAGCTGTCTATTATAGAGTAAGTGCTCACTGAATATTATGGATATCGATAAGTACGACTCTTCTTGCAAAAATATTTGATCGTGTTGTAACTCTAGCTTCCAGATAGAACTGGAGTATATAATGAACTATGCCATCATTAATTACTTTATTATTAATATTAAGCATTATATTAAGTTCTATTGCTACGTTTTTCTTGGGTGGCGGAGTTTTGCGGTAACTTGGAAAAACTTCAGCACCATTTTTGTATATTAAGCCCTATAGCATTCGCCTTTTCCCAGTGGCTGCTGTATAAACTATCCAGCTCCTCGGTGGTAAGGAATAGGCTATCGTCTAAATGACTGTCGCTTGTAGCGCAAAATGTAGAAACGTCAGAGATGGCGTTGAGCGATGTTTTTGTGGTAAACGTTGAGATACCTAGTGACCAAACGTAACGTATTAACTAAACAAAAGATTGGATCCACAACGTATATGCTATTCAGTTGAAAAAACTGGAATATAGAAAATAGCTTCAATTCCAAGCCTTCAACAATGCTATGTGAGCCTACACGGCCTTCATACGGCTCAAACACTGCAGTCAATTTTGTACTGGAGAAGGGTATTAAGGTAGCGGCTTAATTCGTTGCGAGCTCGAATTTTACTGGCGATAACTAGAGCGTCTGGAAGTAAAGGTATGACTCGCCTTTAGCAGACGATGTATCAAAGATTCAAAAAAGGCTTCAAATAAACACCAATCCATGACCGTTTCTGCGCTTTAGTACGACAGAGTGTTTACCTTGATACGAAGGTCTTGTGTTGCAGAAGAAACGACTAGTTATAACTAGCCCCAATTTGACTTGTTATTATTGTACTGTGTCACAAATAAAGTAGCTCTCCAAAGCGCTATTAAACATTAATACCTAAAAACGTTCCACGACGTGTGCTTAGGGAAGAGCAGATTTCACAACCACTATCAAATCTTGTCTCCTCTAAATAGTGCGTGATACCATTTTCTATGAGTAAAAAAAAAGTAATATTTATGAAGAACATCACGATACGTATCATGTATATATATATATATATATATATAAATAAATATTCTAACGTTATGAATTATCATTGAATTTTTTTAGGTATACTTGATAACCAACCAAAATGAAAAAAATCATCCAGAAGCACCAAGATCTAATACACGTGTATGTCCAAAATGTTTTCATCATCATCATTATATCTAAACGCCCCTAGCATAGACAATTTTATATGCATGCACTACATTGAATAGAATTAATTTTAACTACGGAGCCATTCGTGAAGATTTTAATTGCGCGAATAAGAGAAAAATAAGGATCTACAAACTTTCCGGTCCAGACGCTTATATTAAACATTTACACCTATTTATAATCCTGTATCTAGCTGTTCCTTTTATGAAACAACAAATAAAGTTAACAGCCAAAAAGCTACTCAGGTACAAGCGACGCTTTGGCAGAGAAATCAGTAAGACACCACTTTCAAGTCTGACGAGGTGAAAAGCAATGTATCATCGTATTTGTATTCCGACTAGTGGAAAGTATAGAGGATATTAATGGCAGAAGAGTTACCTGAACTTTGCTTCATTGCTCTGAGACGCATCCTCTCCTTCTCCGGAACTCAGAGAAACTTGAATCTTGTTACGCTTCCACTTAGGGTATTTCCCGATCGCAAATGTTATTCCATTGTACAGTTCGAGAGTGAGACGATGCTTAAGTTTCTATTTCTGCAAATCGTCATCTTGCATGAAGTGTCTACCTGCTCTGCCCACTTCAGTGCTTTGCATACGCCATGCCATTGAAAAAACTAAATATCTAATATACTTTTGAAACATTTAATAATTCGTAGTTCATATAAAGGAGTTCGTAAGCGTAGTGTTCCACTACTGATTATCCATTTGGGCCTTAACCCAGATGGATACAGCTGCGTTGGTTGAATTCTGTATAAATATGTATATATATAGTCTGTATAAATATATAGATATTAATCATTGTTATGGTTCTGTAAGAGCGGCCTGCCGGACGTCAGTCCAAGCCTTAGCCTTTTTCAGTGCTGCAATATGACATCTAAATATAAGTAGGGCAGACACCAAGGTAAATATTTTGTTAATGCCATTAGGAACAAATACGAAAGAAGAACATTCGTCATTCATTAAAAATAGTTTCGTGCCGGCGTGGCTTGATTACTAAATAGCCTGACTAATAACAGGATAACATAGCTTTACCGTTGCCTATAAACTATCGTTTACAACATTTTTGTTCAACTCTAAGTAACTCTCTCTTACAGGCAGAATTTAGAAAGTTCATGTATCAAGTAAATTATTCATACCGTATGAATATGAACCCTATACGCTGTGCTCATTAGTAGACCTACCGTTCAGCACTGATATGCCTCTGAATAGAATCTAACGTGGTAATCTTTGAAGAAGCAAGCCCACACTGGCAATGCTTCATCCGTACGCAGTTTGAATAGCCGTTAATCTGCGCTGCCCAGCGATCCGTAAGTCGAAAAACACAGAGCGTCGCCATATATATTGGCAGTGCGCATCCAAATGAACGCCCGAGACAGTACATAGCTGCAACGACGATGTGACTCGGTGTTTTGACGTATGCCATTAAAAAACGTACGCTAATGATGATCATCCACGCCAATGGAACAAACAATAACAGCGATTCGAATAAGTTCAGACGCACAATTACGGTTTTCGAGATTTGCCTATCGACACGAACCAGCCACGCGTAGAGGACCGCTGCCACCCCTGCCTCGATAAAATACGTTACACGCTCGATCCGCGATGAGATATTTGGCGCACGGCAGAAAATAATTATATTTGTTATTTGCGAGATCACGTTGAATAGAAACACGAGAAAAATAAAAAATTGCCGCCGATTCGATAAATTGTCCTTTATGAAAAGTCCAAAAAAGCGTGGTACAGAGATTGGACTAGA